CAAGACAAGGCCTGGCCTGTTAAACTAGGAGACACATCTGTAAGAGAACTTTGTCTAGTTCCTGTCTCAGCTCTGTCTGAGCCAAGTTCTGACAAACACCATTTGTGCACTGGGGCATCTTTCCTTACAGTCTAGACAAGCGATGCCCATTTATGTCTTCTTTGTTTCAACTTCCCTCCAAAGAGGACTGGTGGTTCAGCTTTCTCCTTGAGCTCCCTCTTCTATTGTACTTGCCTAAAGGAAGCTCTTACTCATATAAAGTAGTAAATAGGAGGACATCTGCAGTAGATTTTTCTCCCTAACTCCTAATGAATATATTGGCCAAACATACTTTTTTAAAATTGCATTTTCATTCAAAGAGGTAAGCTCAGGGATCTTTTAAGGATAGATATACACAACACTATAAATGATGTAATCATTGCACTAATCTTTTAGGAGCAGTGTGAAATTTGAGTTGACAAATAGTTACACAACAGAGCCAATTTCACCTGACATGAAATGGCTTAATTTTAACATTGAACACATGTAAGGAAATACCATAGCATTACAAAAAAATTCTGGTACAAATTCCTTTTTAAAAATTATATTATATTAATCCTTTAATAATTCCATACAGCCTATTTTGACCTCATTCATGTCTACCTCCCAACTCATCCCAGATCATCACCCACCTTCTTACACACCCTGGTAACTTCTATTTAGTTATTGCTGTGACAAAACACTATGACATAGATAACATGAAGAACAAAGAGTTTATTGGGGAACTTAAAATTTCAGAGTGAGTCCATGACCATCTTGGTGGGGAACTTGGCAGGTATTTGATAATGAAGTAGTAGCTGAGTGCTTACATCTGATCTACAAGAAGGAGGCACAAAGAGAAAGAGATATTAAGAGAGTGAGAAAGACACAGAGTGACACACAGAGAGAATCTGAGACAGAGAAATGCAAATGGAATGGCTTGGGCTTTTGGAACCTCAAATCCCACCCACTATGACAAACCACCTCCTACAAAGTCACAACTCCTAATCCTCTGCTAATAGTTATGAGGACCAAATATTTAAAGCCTCTGAGAGCTAGTCTTATTCAAACCAATATGCTACTCTTGCAACTTCATGCCCTCTTACTCTTTGTGTGTGTGTGTGTGTGTGTGTGTGTGTGTGTGTGTGCATGCCTCAAGATGTGCCTTACCTTAGAGTATCGTTGATAAATCAGGTGTCATACCATTAAAGAAAATGACATTCATTCTTCCAGCACCAATATAATGCCAATAACACTTCTGCTAGGGATGGAACTTGTGCCCACTCCTCCACCTCTATGCCCCAGATACAACTTTTATTGCCATCCTTATTTCAAAATTTATGCTGTAAAGCAATGCTAAAGAAGGCTACAATTGTTTTGAAAAATTCAACACAGGGAAATCTTTCCTTTTGTGGGCTTGTCTAAGCATTTTTTATTACTGTGCCAAAACACCAGGTGAAAATAAGTTATAGTAGAAAGGATTAACACTGGCTCACAGTTTGAAGATACAGTCCATCATCATTTTGAAGGCACTGTAGCAGAATCAACTGTGGTGTCAGGAAAAAGATGTAGCTGGTCACATTGTATGCACAGTCAGGAAGCAAAGATAAATAGACACTGGTGCTGAAGTGACTTTGCCTCATTGTATTTAGTCTGGGATTCTAGCTCACAGATCATTCCACATACATCCACAATACACTTTTTCCTCCTCAATTAAAACTACTTGGAAAAACTACAATTGACAAGCTATTAATTAATTTCCTAGGTCACTGAATATCCAGTCAAGTGGGTAATTACCACTAACCACCAAAATTCTACCACTTTTCTACTTGGCACCTAAGCATATCATCTTAAACCATAGACCTATGGCCATCTTATATTGTAGAATATATCCAGTCATTTTCAGAAGTCTCTATAATTTTAACAGGTTCAAAATTGTTCAAATTTCTATAGTCCAAACTTTCTTATGTGATTCAGTAAAATGACTTAACTGTGAATCCCCACATAACAATAAAATGTATGAAATGCATCTTTTCAATATATGCAGAGAATAAATAATCATGCCCCTAATGTGGGGAATGGGGCACATCATAGAAAGATCTGGACAAGGAAATATCAAATGTTAGCAGAGCAAACAACAAATTCTGGAGTTTCATGTATAGTATCTTGGGTTACTTATGGGATCATCTGGGTTCAGTGGACTTAATGTAGTCAATTTTTTCAGGTCTGCTATCTGCAGAATAAGCAGCCTCTAGCTGATCCAATTTGTGCTTATCACTTCTCTAGGCAGTCATAGGATCCATCTTCACAGATTCATAGCCTGTTGGGGTCTCATTATAAAGAATCTTATCCTGCCACACATTGCCTAGCTTCAGAAACTTTCTGCATCATTGGTGGGAATATCCTGGTATGTGTCATCTTTCCCTCAGAATAACTTTCCTAGTTAAGAATATTAAGTTGCTTCTTGTTGTTTGTTTGTTGTTTTGTGTGTATATGTGTGTTTGTATGTGTGTGTGTGTCTAGTGAAAGCATTTGAGTGTTGACACATGTATATGTACACCTTCAGAGTTCAGAGCAAAAATTCAGGTGTGCTCCTGTCAAATCAATTTGCTATTTAGAAACAGAGTAACTCATTGAAATGTAAGTGTTCTGTTCCTTGTGGATGGCTATCTAGGATGCTCTCAGTATCTGGTACCAATATTGGTGTTATAACCACACACAGTCATACCCACATTTTTATCTATGTTTTCCATATTTGAGGCCAGTCCTTCATACTTTCAAAGCAAGTTCTTTTATATCTTGAACCACCACCCCAGGCCCAAGGTTAACCAGGTGATCATTTCCTGTTTGCTGTGTAGCCCTGGCAGTTCTAGAACTCTCTCTGTAGATCAGGCTGGCCTTTTGAGCAAAGATAGGCCTGCTTTTGCCTCCTGAAAACTGAAATTAAAAGTGTGTACTACTACCACCCAGCCATATCTTTAAAAATTACAAATACTTTGTCTTCATCTCTACCCCTATTTGCAACCCTAATAATCGAAGTTCAGTTTTTCAAATATCTCCTCTTTTACCAGACCTTCCTGAGAATAGTGAGTGTCCTAGATATCTTTGCTGTCCTAAAATTGCCTTCATTAGATGAATTTGTCCATTGCTTTTGAATTTGGCCTAACTCAAGTTCTCAAAAGATGGGGAGAATAGCCAGATTCTTTTCCAAATGGAATACAAATGACCTGTATCCCAGTTCCCAGTAGAGCCCTTGGTCTCTCAGGCCCTGACACCTCATAAGTCATAACTCCATTCTGAATTTGTCTTGGAATTTTATTCTTCTAAATTCCCATTAACATGCCCAATTATATTATGTCTATAGAACCCCAAGTCTTCACTGGTACATAGCTCCAAATTCTTCCTTATGCATTCTAAAGTTCCAGAAGCCTAAGAACCACATGTCCTAGTATCTCACATCAGTAATTCTACTCTTGATAGAAAATTTCTGTATCAGTGATATTGTTATACCTCCTATATTATTCTAATTTAGTCACTTTAAAAGTGACACTTGTCAAACAGAGGTCTCTTTAGGTTTTACAACTGGTTAGTCAGGTACTCCAAAGCAGCTGCATCTCAGCAGTTCCTTCTACTGAATGTTTGGTAGCAACTATTTAGGTACCATCCAATCATTTGGTCAATTCCCATTTATATTAGATTCAGTATAAACAAATATGTAATCAGTAATTGACATGAAAGGATAATGACCAAAAATTAAACTCTCCTGTGATTTGAAGACAAAGGAAAGACCATAAACCAGCCATTCATCTTAACTTTTTAGTAATTCTGTAATTTGTAAAAAACATTTGCAGATTACCAAATATAATTACCAATGTTATTTAAGAAAACATGTACTTATTGCTTGCAATAATTTGGCTTTCTTTTAACAATGAATTCAAGAATTTTCTTTCCCTAAATCAGTAACTTAAATTCATATAGCTGTAAATTGCTTATGTATATTATATACATATGTGTCAATAGTCAGTATGTATATTTGTACATAATTTGCATGTGTACATGCCTTGTATTTACATATGATTTTTGTATATGTATATGATCATATATATATATATATATATATAATTTTGAAACTGTTCATAATGACATCTGTGACAATCATTTACATTGGAATTATCTTTAAGCTGATATTAGCATGAGAAATATTTTATAGCATATAAGCTAATGCATATTGGTATGGATATTTATATTCTAATGTTAAATACTTTTGCCAAATAACGTCATATGAAAGAAAACAATCTTTTCTATTTAAATTATTAAATAGTAAGCAATCATATAAAACTTGTAGCAAGATTATGAACTTCAATTTTTTAATATAGCAAAGTTATTTGTCAAAAACATTGTTAAAATAAAAATATTTTTATATTAAAATCACTTTTTATATACTTGAATAAGGTATCCATTAATTTTATGAATAAAATAGAATTCAAAACTAAATAAAATATTAATGATTTACTATAAAAATTATGTGTATATTCAGTCTATATTTATATGCCTTTTTTCTTTTGTTGTTTCTCAGATTATAGTTACAATAACTCTCTTCCCTTTCCTCCTCCAAATGCTCTTATAATGATGATTTTGCTTTTACTTGTAATTTTGTCTTTTATTGAAAATAGATTTTTTTCACAAAACATACAGTCGTTCCCTCCCATACCTCACAGTTCCTCCTCATATCCCCTCCCATATGGATCACACCCTTTCTGTCTCTCAATAAAATAAATGGATGTTCAAGGGAGAATAATAAATGTAACATATAATAAGGTAAAACAAACACAATATAATATGACAACACAATCCATCAGAAGGGAAAGAATCCAAGAAAATCACAAGAAACAGATATAAACACAGAGACCCATTTGTTCACATACTCATGAATCCCATAAAAACGGAGTTCAAAAATGAGTTTTAAAAAGAGAGAGAGAGAGAGGAATAAGGAACACCTCGTGAGTTTAAGTGTTATCCCTGCTCAGGGAGCATGTTAATCTTTCTATCATTTCAATTTTAGTAGATGTGCTGGCAAAGTGAACACTTTACGCCTATTTTGAATCTCCAAGAAAGTGTCTCTGCAGTTACACCTTATGTAGTTATAAAACTTTCAATATTGTACTTATTTAAAGAAATCCTTCTTTAAGTTTTCCTAGTATGGGGTGCTCACTGTTCTGTTAGAAGAATCTACAGAAAAGGCAATTATACTGCAAGGCTTCTTAAGCATCTTAAGGGAGGCCCATGGCTACTTTGATTTAACAAATTTCACTAGGTAATAATTTCCCTGTCATCAGTGTTAATGAAAATTCAGGAAATGTCAGACTTCAGAGGATATAAAATCTTATAGAAGAACATTTTATAAAAGTCCAGGAACCATCCCAAGTGACAAATCAGCCTTTTTTCCACACATGGCGGGAGTACTGGGAAGCAAAGAATGAGGGCAAAACTGGATTTGAATTTTTTTTTTAGAGGCCTATTTTGATCCACCAATGCCTCTGGACATGGGCCAATCTAAGTAATTAACTAATCCTTCTCACATGTTCTGTAAGAATGCCATTCATGTTAGACCTCTTACACAATCCATAATGGAGAAGAAGGATGGAAAGTGCAAAAGGAAGCATGGATGAAGCCTGCCAACTTCTCCATCCACAGTTCTGTGGGTGTCCATCCATGAGCTTGCATGAATCCCCTTCCAGAAGGCATTGACCTCTTTTTAGGGAACTGAAGTCCCAGTGTAATATTCATTAGACCAACATCTGTAAAGGTGGTTGGAATGGTTAGTTAAAATGTTATCTATACAATTGAGAAAGGAAATGCTTGGACTATATAGATTGAGTCCCCGTCTTTGAGAAATGCAACTCTCTCTTAGCTACTGAGAGATATATTCTTTTCTCTGCTTAACAGCTTTGATGTTAATTTGGATTCTTTTGGGCAAAACACATATTTTTCACAACACCTCTGTGTCATTGGAACCATAGTGTGTCTTCAAGCAGACAAAGAAAATTCAGGATAGCACATAGGCTGAAAGAGTTAAAAGGAAGAGGTCTTTGCAAGAGTCATCCACTGGGAGTCTGGATAACCATTCCTGTCATTGCTAGATCACATAACATGGCAAGAAATTTCTATTGCACGACTTGTGGCTCTAAACAATGATCTGGGTGGATATCACTTTCTCTTCCAGTTTTCAAATTGTCTTCAGAAATCCAGGCCCCAAATAAATAGACTGTGAATCATGGCCATGGAAGGTTCCTCTCTGGGGGCACTCAGCCTTTCTTCACTAAGAAGTCATGGCTGTGTCAACTAAATATAAAAATAGATCATTTTAAAGTTCATTTCCTGCATACTTTTGTGGTCCAAAGTAGTTTGCTGCCTTTTGTTTAATTATTGATCCCAAGTATATACTTTAAAGTATAAAGTATAGTCAGATTAAACATGCAAATAAACTGTCAACAAGGAAATAAGAATGCAATACACCAAAAGTGGATTTTAAAAGTTGTTTTAAAATATAGATTTCTGGAATAAGCTCAAATATAGCGAGCTCCAAGTCTGTGGGTTCAAATAGGAAACAATTAGAATGATTGGATAAAATGTATTATGGAGAATTATTTGAAAAAAAAATTATATCCCAACTAAAAAAGCATCCAAGGAAGGCAGTTCTTGAATGTCTACCATCAAATCCAAGAGACGAGATCTCTGGGGGTTTTCTGGAGAGAAGAAATGTGATTACAGCATTTTCCTGGCCCAAAAGCCTAGCCAAGAGGAAGTGAAGAGAACCCAGCCACAGGCCAAATCTCAGGCTCCAGTGGATGGATTGCCAGAACATCCTACACACCGGACAAGGGCGGTGAAGCCAGGACTACCCACGTTCCCAGGCTTCTAAAGACAGGAACCTCAGGGATATTTGATTTATGCAGAACAACTGGTTTGCCCAGATGCATTAAAATGAAAACTTTTCCAATGCTCTCACCTGGGATCCTGGAAAATGGGAGTGGGAAAAGCAGATTAAATTTTTCCTTAAGAGTCCATTAGGACAACTGGAAAAGGGCCTAAGCTTCAGATGACAGCAATGGCCCATAGCTACTGAGCACTTACTGTTTGCTACACTGTATAGTTTTTCTTATAAAATTACCTTAGAGCCTCAAGATTCTTCTAACACAAACATCATTATTTACTGAGTTTTATAGGTTAGGAAGCCTGACTTTAGGGAGTTAACTCAGTAATTAACATGCTGTAAATATACAAAGAGCTGGTAAATGATAGAATCAGAATTTAAACCCAGGTTTCCCCTACTTAGAACTCAATTTTTTTTATTGCTATTCTTTCTTTATTTTATTTTACTATGTTGTTGTTATTCAGCTGTTGTTATTGATACAGGTTTTTACAAATGCTATATAGTTCACTATGTATATGAGGATGACCTAGAACATCCAATTGCTTCACTCTCAGAGTTCTGGGATTATAGTCACGGGCCACCATGCTGAGTTTATAAAAGACTGGGGATGGATAATCAAACATTCCAAACACTCTATCAACTGAGCAGCCTAAATTCTTAACAAATTAGGGGATTGGATGAATTAGCTATTATATGTGTGTAATTGTGAATTAATAAATGTACTTAATACACATGTGGTTTGTGTCTATCTTTACTAATATACCATGAACAAAGGGTGCCAAAAGACTATAACTCAGCTTCAGCATAAGGATTCAAGGCATATTTATATATTTATTCTGACTCTAAAACTGATAGGAGATGACATTCTGTAATGTGTTTCTCTTATTGGTTAATGACAGGAAGGCAAGATAGGTGGGATCAGAAGACAAGGATGATTCTGGGAGATGCAGTAGAGAGGAGTCAAGGTATAGGGCATGAGAGGTCCAGACTTTCTCACAGGTGAGCCCACCTGGAAACACATTGATACAAATGAGTTAATATTTAAGCCACAGCTAGCCAGTAAGAAGCTCTAGCCATTGGCCAACTGTAACGAGTAAGGTTTTTCCACCTGCCGCCGGTCTTGTCTTGCTGCCACGCCAGCCCCAATTAACACACCGAGACTCTGTATTTGATATAATGCTGTTGGCCAGTTACTTATTTCTTATTGGCTAGCTCTGTCTTAAGTATTAACCCATTTCTGCTAATCTATGTATTTCCACGTAGTCTCCTCTTACCCTCAGAGAGCTGGCTGGCGTCCAGCTCTCCAGACTCTCCATTTTGACTCCTCCTTACTACTTCCTCTTTCCTCCTTGTCTCCTAGTCCTGCCTATCTAGCTTTCCTATTGGCCAACAGTGCTTCATTCATTAACCAGTATGAGAAACATATTTACAGAATGGCATCTCCCATCAGCCAACAGCTTTATAACGAATAGAGTCTCTCTGTGTTATTTTGGGGTTGATATGGCTGTTGGACCAGGTAGTCAGAAATTGCTCATAACATAAAATCTGGAACTTCCCTGAAGTTCCCACTCCCTTAGCAACTGTTAGAGATCATGAAAGAATAAAAATAGGGATTTAAAGTTGGGTGATCCTAATATATTATATTTGTTGCGATACTGCTGCTGTGTACATTCATATACTTTTAAAATACACTTCTCAATTCAGTGCTTAGCATAAAATACACATGCTAAATATATTTTTTAATAATGAGGTAGGGAGTATTTCTCTCATTTTACAGATGTGACAACTGACTCTCAGAGAAAACTTCCCAAAGACCGCAAGACCTCATATAGGAATTAAATTTAGTTTTTCTAACTTTAAAACCCATACATTTGGTACAATATCAAAAGCCACAAAATTACAAAATCATGTTGTTACAGAAATAAATAAAGTCAGTTGAAAGGGAATTACCCTTAAGGCAGGTCTTAAATAATGAGCAAAACCTATCATAGAACAAGAATTGATTGTATGTGGGAATGTGGAAGTTTATAGAGGAAAATGTTCCTTGCCACAGCCTCCTCATTTGTTGATACTGAGGGAAACACATCTTTAACAGGACACTTTGAGAGATATAAATCTCAGCTGGAGACTATGCTCCTGTGTTCTCTGTCCATGATTGCTTCATATATTATTACCTTTAGCCCATTCTGCATACATTTAGCAATTAGGAAGATGACTTCTGTATTAAGTAGTATACACCATATAGAGTGTAGGATTCATATGCCACAAGTTCAAGCACACATAAGACCTTAGTCATGCATACATCCCTCCACACAAAAGGAAATTAACTAACCCAACTTAAACAAATCCAAGCACCAAGTTTCCAAGTGCATGGGCATGCCTTGGCGTAAACTCTTCTTTTTCTCTGTCCTTTGACCTTGACAGCTTTCAAACACACATGAATCAGTAGTCAAGAAACTTAAAGACAGCAACTCAGAGAATTTCCGAAAAACAACTGGCATTCTGCACACAATTTGTTTGTTCCTTAAGCATTTTCCTACCTGGAACTACTAAGGAACTATTAAACTGGGCTTAGAAATTAGAGAACTGAGAGAGGGTTGGAAACTCTCATGGTGCTAAGAAGAGAAGACAAATTGAAGCTATCTCAAATGAAAATCAGCTTGTGCAACCAAAATAGAGCTCATGCCAGGATAACCCAGATATCTCCCTGTCCTTCTTGCAGTACTTCTGGCCAGAATCAGTCATGTTCTTCAGAGCATGGTTCAGCATATATAAGGACATCACTAGCCAATAAGCATGTGGTATCTACAAGGAGCTGCTAATAGCCCTGGAGCCTCATTCCTTTTGGGCTCTCCAGCCTTTCTACTGCTCTAGGTTGACATCTATGCATGGGTCCCCAAGGAAACCCACCTTAAATTAATTTATTTTTAAAACAATCTTATTTTACATACCAATCCCAGTTCCCTCTCCCTTCAGTTCTCCCATCCCCTTACCATCTCCCAACACTTCATCCACTCCTCAGAGAGGGTAAGGCCTCCCATGGGGAATCATCAAAGTCTGTCATATCATTTGGGGCAGGATCAAGGCTCACCTCTTGTATCTAGGCTGAGTAAGGCATTCTTCCATAGGGAATGGCTTCCAAAAAGCTAGTT